CAAGGTGTCGCAATAGGTAAAATCTATTCAGGCTTTTCGTGTAGGTGTCACGAGAAGTTTATCTCTCCTACAATTTATTTGTTAATACTGTGAGTTATTATATATCTAGCGGAATTCTATATGACATGGTTTTTTTTTCTTGCAGAGCATACCGTTCGTTATACATTTTGAACTGGATTTACCGCTACTTCACTCAACCACACTATGTCCACTGGATAAGTAAGTACTCTCTCTCTCTCTCTCTCTCTCTCTCTCTCTCTCTCTCTCTCTCTCTCTCTCTCTCTCTGTATATATATATATATATATATATATATATATATATATATATATGTGTGTGTGTGTGTGTGTGTGTACCATGGAAGAGAATTTGATGTACTGGTTCTGGCCGATGCAGCTTGGATTGCAGGGCTCGTTCAGACATTGCTTTACGCTGATTTCTTCTATTATTATTTCCAAAGGTAAAAGTATACCCTAGTATTTACCACCACATTTTCAAGCTTTAAGTTAATCTCCAAAAATTCCTAATTCTATTTTATTTCTGATTTTGTTGTTTCAGCTGGAAGAACAATTCGAAGCTCGAATTACCTGCGTGAGAACTCTTTTTTTTTTTTTCTTTTTTTATAACAAGAATTTTCAGAAGCATGCACATTAATCGTACACCTGTTTTTTCAGCCCTAAAGATTTAGACAAGAAACGAATCATGTTCTTGATTTTCCATACAGTTTTATCTTATCATATGTAGCCGGGAGAACTGCTTATTTTGCTTAAAATATAACTAACTCGACGTTTTCAAGTTTCGTTTGACAAGAATTATATTTTATATTAGGTGTCTACATGCATATCGAGTCCAATTAATCTAGGGGTGGAAATTGGAACGAAAATTCCGATTTCCGCCGAATCCGATCCGAAACATTCCGATTTTGGAACGACTTTTTCAAATCCGAATTCCGAAATTCCGATTTCCGAAAATTCCGAAAAAAATCGGATCGGAATCGGAAATACATAACAGAATTTTGGAATTTCCGATTTCCGATCCAAAATTATTCCGATTATTTCCGATTATTTCCGATTTTTCCAATTATTATTAATATTTATTACTATATATAATATATACTATATGTCTATATCTATCCGCAGTCTGTACTAATTACTAGTAATATATATTAGTATATTACTAATATTTTTTTTTTGAGGGAGTACTTCTCTTCGTATGGTGACATTATGGAGCACCAGATTATGCTGGATCACAAAACTATAATATATATTATAGTTTAATTTCCTCTTTTTTTTTTTTTTTTTTTTTTTTGGGGAAAATTCCGAAAATTTCTGAAAAAATTCCGAAAAATTCCGAAAAATTTCCGAAATTTCCGAAAATGAAGATTTCCGAAAAATTCCGATTTTCCGAAAATTCCGAAAAAATCGGAATCGGAATCAATTTTTGAATTCCGAAAAAATCGGAATCGGAATTGGAAGGCATTTTGGACTTCCGAAAAAAATCGGAAATTTTCCGAAACACCTAAATCCGATCCGATCCGTCCGATTTCCACCCCTAAATTAATCCATACAAAATTAAAGTAAAGACAACGTGGTATGATATGTATGCAAGAGTGAGTATACAAGTGCACATATATGGTTGGTTGCGGTTACCTGTATAACTAAAAAAAAAAGGAAATAAAAAAACCAAAGAGTACACAGATTAAGACAAACCTTGACAACAAATATCGAACAACCAAAGAACACGGATCTTAGGGATGGGTTTTAAAATTTTAAAATTTTAAAATTCCGCAAATACTTACACCGGATTCATAGTGTAAAAAGTTTGAAGAAAAGTAAGGCACAAAAGAAAGGTGGCAGCTAAGAGCGCAATAGCAGTCCAAGGACTACGAAAGTAAGTATAAATTAGCTCTGCCATCCACGTTTTGGCCTTGCTAGAACAATGCTCGTTAATCCTCATTGTAACGTCTTGAAGATTGAACCCATAATCACTAGTGTGACTATATGTGTCGACCTCTTGAAACATCTTCACCACTTCCTCGTCATTCACCAAAGAACTAAATAGTATGCCCTTTTCTCGAAGCTCTTTAACATCCTTTGGGTTCTCAATTAATGCTTTCATGAAATTAATATACGATGCCACATCAAAGTTTGTATCGGTTTCGGGGGACATTTCAAAGGCTATTGTGTTTGAGAAAAATACTTTGGAATTGTTAGTGACAAACCGAATAGGAAGATAGAGCTCCCCGTAAAAGGAGTATGAATTGAACCTGATGTCTTTTACGCAATTAGAACTCGGTCTGAAGTGGATGCCCTTTGCTTTGAGATCTGTCACTGAACGAAATGCGTTGCTGTCACTTTCGAAACTACTACTTGGACTGGATCTTTTCCGCCGCGTCCATTTGAATTTCAAATTTCGACGACGTTGGGTACTAGTAGCAACAATCTCCTCATGATCGACAAGAGTAATATGGTGGGCCTCAATAAGGTGAAGAGGTTCTTCTTCGTCTTTCCATGGAACTCGTGTCAACCTATTATTATCTCCAAGATTCATTTCACTCAAGAATGTGCAGAGCAATGCTTCCCCTTCATCTTTATCATTAATTTTTAAGTTGATTAAGAGCTTTATTATCCAGAACGGGATTTGATTCTCCAACACAAAGAAATCACGAAACATTAACCCAACCACGTATAGTCCAAGCCGATGAACCATGTGATTGTAGTTATCGTCATTATCTTGTGTACCAATCTCGATATAGTACAAGACGAAACATGTGTCACGTAGCATCATTTGAGCCAATGCTTCGTCGTCGAACTCGTATGTCGAAAGCCCGCTGTAAAAGAATCTGATCTCGTCAATCCGATCAAGGATCTTGCACCGGAACAAACCTCTGACGTTTGGGTCCAACGTTGTATTAGTGATCTCCACTTTGAGTTTCTCTGTCTGACGGAACTGGGACCCGCCGTGGTGATATGGGCCGAGCGAAAGAACGACTGGATCATAGACGTGCTTCTTGTTTTCTCGCAGTTGCGGTGACACTCTGTGCAATATTTGCCGCCGATGCAAGGTGGTGATGCTCTCTGCCTCCACCTCATTTGATATCTCAACAACGACGTGTCGTTGCGGCGTGGCTTCCTCTTCTTTCCCCATATATTATAGCAACTAGATATGTGTGATATATATATATATATATATATATATATATATATATATATATATATATATATATATAATTATGTGGAACTAAAATGATGAACTTTCTTTCTTCTAGCTAGATGTATTATGTATATGACTTGTGGATGAGATGAAGAATGGTAGCAGCAGTTGTATTGATGCTGTGTTACATGTGTATGTGTCGCCAAAAGTTTTTATAAAAGTAAAATTTGGTGATTACGAGTCAAGTTTGAAATAGTCACTTATTTTTCTTAAAAAAGAAACAATCATTTTTTTTATAAATAGGGTGCAAATTTAGATCGGATGAACTGTTTTAATTGGAAAATTGGATGCGAATTCTAATAATTGGAAGAAAAAAAAAAGGAAAAAAAAAAAACTCAACATAACCCACAACCCCTCTAACCCTAATTATAATCAGCGAGATCTATTAAGAGTTAAAACTTAAGAGTGCAACATGTCAAAAAAATAGTGGAATCCAATTTATATTAGATATCGGCTGATCCTTTTAGAATTTAATCTGTTATAAATGACAAGAAAAATGAAGTTATATGACCTATTTTAAAATTCCATGTGTTTGCAAATGAACATTAGTTTTTAGGTTGTTTGATGAAATGTCTAAATCGTCCTAGTAAGCGAAATTTGGACGAGGAATATAAGGATAAAAAAATCAAATTAAAATACTGATTGGTTTGAATAAAACAAAAAGGTTGAAAATAATGGTGAGTGGAATACGATGCAACACGAATGCAACTTCGGCCAATTCAAATAAGTGAAGTGGTTGCACTTGTTTTGTCAAGACTAGCTTCAAAAAATAATTCCAATTCAAAATTGAACTAGATTAAAAAAAAAAAATTAACATGGCATTAATTTATGTAACAATAATTCTCCATCATTATTTTAAGAGAACATTCCCGGATGTTTAAAATTTCTATAACTCTTATATTTAACTTAGTAACTGATTTTATAAACTATTGTTTTGTTATTAGTATTTACTGTAAATAAAATAGTCAAAAAGCCCGTCTAGCTCAGTTGGTAGAGCGCAAGGCTCTTAACCTTGTGGTCGTGGGTTCGAGCCCCACGGTGGGCGTTGACACAATATATTTTGTTTTTTGGTTCCGAGTTGAGTCAACTGAGTTTGACGCCGAGTGCATGCAAATTTCTCCCCAACCCCAAACAAATTTTCTCTACTTCAAAAATTCAAATTTTGTTAAAATTGAAAACAATATAAGTGCAGACTATTCGTATTTCGTACCTCCGGAAACGAACCTTTCGGGAAATACAGACTATTCCTATATTGAACTAATCCATCGCATTGTATACCGACAAATCCGTTGTATCGTAATTTAATAACAATTTTATCTTCCAAGAAACATAGTGGTGTAGACAACCATTTCAAAATCGGAAAATCTCAAAAACCAATAGGTAGCTCCGTCAGACGAATATTCCTTCACGACTACCGTACCCGATTATGTCTAGGCCCGTTTTCTTTTCCGTCCAAGAACGGCTATTGCACGAATAAATCGCACATCTCTTTATGAAAAAAAAGACAACCTTGAAATCATCCCTTATCGGGTCGTAACAAATCCCGTGACTCGGAGAATCACGTGCACTAAGTGCGTATAGGTAGTCGAAATACATTTATCTCCCTTCGAGCCAATGGAATCCACAATGCGTACTGTCTCGATATGCTGTGGCATGGAGCGAATCGCAAGAGTAGCACCCCGTTGCATTCGCATAATAATACTACGTCGTCACAGCCGCGGAATTTATCAACCTCCAGTGCTGCTCCGGCGTGGATTTTCCAACCTTCGGATTTAACCAAAGAAAACCCTCTTTCGGTTGTACTCGTACTTATGAAGAGATTGTTATTCGGAGAGTTTTTCGTGTTTTCGAGATGTTTTCGGATGAATACAGGATCGGAAATCATAGTATTCCATGACTTGCAAACTGTTTTTTAGGGTTTATTTATAGATAACAAGTTTTGGCCCGGTCCGGCCCGACATGCAACGTCATCTATGCGTAAAATAAATAAATAAAATATTACCAATTTTATTCGTAATCACCAATTTTAATTATTTCAAAAGTTCATTCAAGACTTACTCGAACTATTACTCAACCGAAAATAAGAGCTACATTGGTTTCGAAGAAAGAACCAAAACTCACGGGTGCGCAATGATTTGGGTGTACCCGTGCAATTTTTTTAATCAATAAGACATTATTTAGCCAAAAAAGAAGAAAAAAAGAAAAATACGAAAAGAAAAAAGTCTATCGAGAATTCAAGATATCGAACGAGTCTCCGCCTGCACAGGGAAATACAGACTATTCCGATATCGAACTAATTCACTGCAATATGTGCTATATAAATTATGAGCCTCGTTCCCGTCAATTTCTTCAAACGTCTTCTCGGTAGGGCTATAGTAGACGAATGTTTTCTCATCCAACCGAATTAAAATCTTGTTTTCGACGAAACAAAGCACTCCTAGCCACCAATCCCGAGGCTTCCTAATTTCGAAAGTTAACAACTCCTCCCAATTAGGGTTTCCCCCGGCACCGATGCCCTTTTCCTTTCTCCAGATTCGAAATCTTAACATATCATCGTCACCTTCTCCGCTGACGCTGTACAAACACATGTTCTCTCTCAAACATGCCACACTAATAGTAAGGCCACTATTACAATCACTATTCAGTTGTTCGGGTTTCTGCAAACCCTTGAGCTCGTCAGTTCTCGGATCGAAATACACTATTTGAATAGTGTGTTTGTCGTCCCTTAAAACCCAATAGGTAGCTCCATCAACGAAGATTCCTGTAAAAAATCCATAGTATTTGATTCCTAATTTCTTTTCCGACCAAGAATTGTTCTTACACGAATAAATCGCGTAACGATCGTCGATAACCAAAACAACCTTGAAATCATCCGTTAACCGGTCGTAACAAATCCCGTAATTCAGTTTATAAGCTTCGTTATACGCGTAAGGGCATTCGATGTACATCTCCCTCCGAGTAGATGGATTCCACAGCACGTGTTTTTCGCTATAGTGGAACCTACTGTTGCCCAAGAGTACGTAGTACGCCGTTACATTCACATAATACTTCATATAATACTGTTTCGTAGCGACTGTTACTATTCGTCGGTGGTATCGGTACCGCATCGGCGGCGCGGAATTTCCGACCATCCAATTTAAACAAAGGGTACCCTCCTTCAAAACGAGGTCGTTTCGTACTTAGGAAGAGATTATTCGGAGAGTTTTCGAGATGATATCGGACGAATACGGGATCGGAGATTATAGTATTCCATGACTTGCAAACTGATTTGAATCGAAGAAGAGATTTAACTGACGGTGATTTTGACAGGATGATTTCTATGATTTCAAACGGAATATTCGATGATGATGATGCCATATCTCTTTTCCAATGTGTTGATCGCTTGTTTTAGGGTTTAGTTATTGATGATGCTAAAATATAGCTCACCTAGGGTGGTGTAGAAAATGAGCTGGGAGAGCAAAGCAGATCAGTAGTTTGACAACTTGATGATCCTGAGGTACCTGGCGATCACGAATACACGTGAACTACGCCGGGGGTTGATCCGGCGGAAACCCCTCCGACGCTCAAGTCAGACGCTGATCATAGAAATAGTCCAGAGAATACGTATTGTAGTATTGCTCAGTTAATAGGACATACCTTCATAAAATGAGTAAAACCTCTATTTATATGTCGTTTATTGGGTTGGGTTTGCTTTGTTGGGCCCAAGCCTTACTTGAAGGTGTTTGGGCCTCGGTGATATTAGTCTTCGATATTGGGCCCGTAGCCCATTAGGTAAAGAAATTGTAGGCCCATTGGGTTGGCCCAATTAGGCATATCATTAAGCCCCCCACTCTCGAGTCGATGTGGGGGCCATGTTGTAATGGGTCTCAAATCGTGTCGAGAGTAAAAATTGTAGAAGTCGATCGTTGGCGCATGGCCTAATGGTATGCGAAAACGCGTTGGAGCGTGTGTCGGAGGGGCGTGAATGCGCGTTGGCGCATAGCGCGACAAGGTCGTCG